GNCCCCATTTAGAAAAACTGTGAATAGTCTCACGAAATTGTTCTGTTTCATTCTGGCCGTGGTACTTTATTTATTGTTTATCAATCTGATTACCTATTTTTCTGATTATTTTATTTACTCATTAGTAAGAAGCGTGCCATTACAAACTGCCATATTGTGTGGAAATCTGATTGTCAAAGAGTATGGAATGGAAAAAAAACTCTAAATTTGATATATATATAATAATTATAAATAAATAAATAAAAACTATAAATAATAAACAAAACAATAAAAATAAATTCAAAATTTCGCGCATTGATTGGAGAATGATCAGGCTACTCGATTCGGCTCCGAAAACCTCATCCTCGATGCTTTAATGGTTTCCAGATGGAGATCATTACCAATTTGGCTTGTTTACTACAGTGTCCTCAGATTTTTGGTTATACCCCCTATCAATGTGGTGTGCTGTGATCCCCACCTTCTTAACGGCAACTTCTTCCGTTTCCTTGAAAATCTCATTCGCTGATTCAACTGAGCTGATTCAACGCCTCCTTCTGCTGTGGCTACTCTTCCTTTTCCTTTTTACTAGGTGTACTTTGATTTCATAAAGAATATATGAGTCTGTTAGTGCATCGTTATTACCTCCTTCTTATACAAAGTATAAACTGATTTAGTGAATTCACTAGTGTGGATCCGATTTCGACACCCTCAAACTGCATGACTCATGTAGTAGTAGTACTAACTCCTTTTCACATTGCATCATCTTGCACTTGTGCAGAGGAGGGGGGCCGGCTCCGGACCGCCCCCTCCCGCTTCTGCAATTACCCTGAGTTCGGCCCTTCAACGTAGTCAAGGAGCGTCGGATATTTCCAGCACTCTTTGATGCACTTCAAAGTGCTCCGACTAGTTGCTCGATTCTATAAGTCCTTCCTTCCCAGCAGCTCTCCTTTACCTTTTCTGGGATTCTCGCCTTCACTGAGGAGCGTTATACTTGTTACCCGAAAATGTCCTAGAAACTGTTGTAAACATTGCATATTTTGTAGTTTTCCTACTTTTACGTGAATCTACTCGGTAATCTACTCGTGAATCGGTAATAAGTATATAATCAACCGCATACCCTTTAGGAGATCCTATTTACTCATACATACTCATTATTTATTTATAAATTTTCCTACTTTTACGCGAATCTACTCGTGTAGTTGATATTAATGAGCGGCAAAACCTTTAAGGGATCATATTTACCCATACACACCATATTTACCCATATTTACCCATGTTTACCTCGTTCATTTGGGCGAAGAAGGAGGGGTGTTGCGAAGTGCGAAGGGTCACTAGTGAAAATACTGCCCTTGATTGAGCCCATGAGCATTTTCATTAGTGGCCCTTCTTCCTTTTCCCCCGCTATCCCTTCCCTTCCAGTATGGCTATCCTCCTCTTCGGAGTCGATTTCCGGTATCAAAATAGTCTGGGAGGATGTAGCTTTCAAGTTGGCTTCCCTTCCAAGGCCCTTTATAGTCCCCGAAATGCAACCACGATATAAAATATATTAAATTGAAGCCAAACGAAAGGGCTTTTGGCAGCATAGAATTGGTCATGGTAGTCAACAGAACCCTATAAACGTTGTCCTTAATTGTTTATTATTTTTTATAATTATTTATTAGTTTTTATAACAGTTTTTGATTAGTTTTTTATTCGCTTTCATTCGTCCGTTGTACTGAAGCTAAACCATTTGGGTCGCTTCATATCTCCTAAACCGTAACCCCTTTCCTTTTTTCCGTCCAACTGATTCTTCTGCTAATACTGCGAAAGGATACGGTAGAAATATTGGTGCATTTTTCACCCTTCCGTTAGCCGTCCATCCTTTCTAACCCCTAATTGTTTCTCTCTGGGAACAAAAGAGCCGCTTCGAATGTCTCTATCAACAACTCTCATTATAGGGCATTCAGTTCCATCTCTTCATTTCTTTTTATAGGCCCTTCAGGCTTTGCTAAATTATTACGGGCTTTTATTAGACTTATAAACATTATACGACTGGAACGAAATGACTGGTAGTTAATATGGTTGCCTGCTGCATGGGTGCATCCCCATCAGTCTGGCTGAACCTATGCCACCTCCCTTCTCGTGGCCCATCCCAATTTTCTCTAGATTTCGTGGGCTCTGGTTTGTTTTTGAGGAACAAGAGCTTCGCGAAAAGCACCGTTTCGTTTCTACCGTCGCTACTCGAAGTATTTGTGTAAGTAAGTTGTGTAACGTAGTAGGTACGGTGGTGGAAGTGTCGTGGGCTCATTTTCATTCACAATTTTTTCCCTTTTTCCTTTTCTCCCCTAGCCCACCATTCCTCAACCCTTCCCTCCTACCATTTCCCATGTGTTCTGTGGGTCTTTGCTTTAATTCTATCCCTATTTAATTGATTCCAAAAAAAATATCAATTGCAATGAAATTACCGTGGTTCAGGCCATTCGCGAGCATCTGGGCAGACAGCTGTATGCACAGCAGAGCCAGACGTTCAATAAGCAAATTGTTTTTTCTTTTGTTTCCTTTGAATCCATTATGCTATTCGCTGCGAGGGCCATACCAGTGCATTCATTTGGGGATACTCCCCTATCTGGGGATCGTCAGTTTTCCGTCAGTTAACTGCTTCCTGATAAAACGTTCCAGGGTTCGCCCTGTGCGTGTTCTTTCTGAGATCACTCGTTCTCTCATATCAACTACGACAATAGAGCATTCGGGCACTCTCACTGCCGTTTTGATAACGTCCTATGGCTCTGAAAATAGCAGTCAAGTAATGAAGTGATCGTGAGGAATTGGGAGCTTTACCAGAAAGATTGGGGAAGTTGGGAGTTTTACCAGAGAGATTCGGTTTTGTGCAGAGGAAGTCCTGTAGAGGCGGTGGGTGAGCGCGGAGCTCAGAAAGCTGTCGGAAAAATGTATTGCGTCACGCGAACGGGGTGTCATTATCTAGGAAACAGGAAGTGGAGCTCATTCCCCACGAAAACACCTCGTCAGCCTTCCCACTCCCTTATTCTTTCCCCCATTTTCTGATATTATAGGCGCGACGGATGAAGGATCGCTTATGTAGCTGAGCGTGAGTGTCTAACAAGATCACCTTGTTGTTGAGAAAGGAGTCTACACCCCTCCACACCCCCTCACGATCAGCCCAACAAGGGATATTTCCTCAGAATCCACTGCAGGCAGCGGTGATCCTCCTTTGCTTCTAGACAGAACTCGAATGGTGAGTACGTCCTCTGAAATCCTCCCCAGAGTGGTGTGGCTTGAATTTGGGCAGAGCATGTCGGTTTATTGAATAGTCAAGCCAATCAAACTCAGGTTATAGCTACAATTATCCCATAGAATCCTGCCGATATGGCGCTATTGGCAATCGCCACAGCCATTCTGGTATGCTGTCTCTATGGGAGCTAGACTGAAACGATCACTATCCTCCCAAGCTCATCATGCCCTCCTGCGGTGTTGTACTAGGAAGTCGCAACAAATCGGTGACTTAGCACGTTTGGTATTTATTGAGTCCACGACGTCGCTGAATATTTGCCATGAGAATTTTGTCATAAGTAGATTGGGCCCTTCTTTGCCCCCTTTTTACGATCACCGCTATCGGTGCTTCCTGTTGGAATGAGTAAATTCCCTCTACTCGTTCCCTCCCGTCCATCATAATCAGCCATTCGCTGATAGAAATGGAACTCCTTTCAGATTCATGACCCCTTCCAGCGGTATTATATGAATTTTTACTATTTATTCAAATAAATCAACAAATTGAGTAAACACAATATAAATGAAATCTGCAGAGAGGATTTACTTACCCTGGCTGGCTATGAGGGCGGATAAACACGCCCACTCAAAATCAAAGTACATTTTACAATGTTTTTAATTGGGGGTGAGTCACAATTCCGAAAACTCTCGTCATTGTTCAGCTTTGCCCCGCCCATTTGAATGCAATAAAAGACTGACAATAAGCTTAGCAGGTACCCCTGGCGATCTCAAAGGGTCGATACTTGGAAATATCCCTCTGACATGCTTCACTGATAGCGTAGATTTTTTAATTAGCTCTGATACAGATATGACAAAACACTCGTTGTCATTTATGAATGAGGCATTCCTTGAAAACTGGTTTCCATTGTCGAATCAATTCCGTTCTGAACCTTTTTTTCGGCATATACTCGAGTAATTTTGACATTGTTACGTTGCTAGGAAGTTCATTTCCGAATTTCGAAACGTTGGAGGCACAAGACGCGCCCCGACCACGATTTATGGATCAAATTTTCACTCAGACTGCCTTCCATTCCGATTTCTCCAACTTTTTGAGGCTATGAGGCTTGACTGGGACTATACCCATGTTGATTAGATCGCCAGGCGGGTAAACTCCATCTTCATCATAGTATGTTTTAAACTCTATTGCGGTGATAAATCGAGCTTAACCTCATTTCGGTTTTTCGAGGTCGGAGTCATTACTGTAAAGATAAGTCTTTTCATACGGTAGAATGTGGGCTGTTTCGATAAAACCTTCCTGAAGAATTACCCATTCGCTCAAAGCAAGCTGTCCCGTTCATTTCTCAAGAAAGAGCCTAGGGAAATCGCTACAATATTTCTTGTTGCCTTCCATTCCTTTCGCTTAGCCAGCCATTTGTTAGAGCTCTTATATTTCGTTTTTCTAGTCGTCCTTGTGAAGGCTCTGCTCTGAAATTCTCAATTGTCTCTTTACTTTTTTTCCTTTTTCCAAGATAGCCTTCGTTAATTCCTCTCATTTCCTGCCTATTTGTCGGAACTGTTTCCGGTCAGTCTTCAATTGAAATGGAGCTTATTTCAGTTCGAGGTCAACTGCAGATTATGTCACGTTCGCCATCTGGCTCACCACCGCCAACACCAAGCCAATCTCCTGTACCANTTTTTTCCTTTTTCCAAGATAGCCTTCGTTAATTCCTCTCATTTCCTGCCTATTTGTCGGATCTGTTTTCAGACAACGTTCAAATGAAATGAAGCTTATTTCAGTTCGAGGTCAGCTGCAGATTATGTCACGTTCGCCATCTGGCTCACCACCGCCAACACCAAGCCAATCTCCTGTACCACAAAAAGCTGGCTACCAGTCACCACCATGTATTTGTGGTTCGGTACCGTTGGCGTCATTGTCAGCGAACACCCTAGCTGATTCATTGGGAGTTTCGCCGCTCTACAAACAACAAGAGTAGGTTTTCAGCTTCCGTTCGATGACATTTCGTCTTATACGAGTTTTCTCCCTCTCTGTCGAGAAATATGAAATAACCATTGAATTTTCGTGACAAACAAGTTTTTCTTCTTGCCATTAACCAATCGCTGTTGCCAAGATACCAAGTGCTAAAAGCACCATGGTGTCGCTAGGCCGATTGGTTGCCAAGGACTTAGTTAATCCTATGAGACTAAAGACTATAAATCTACAGTCTTCTCAGGTTCTTCTTTGAAAGCCTCTTAATTGTTATGACAAGGTGCAAAACCGGTCCTTCTGATCTTTTTTGATGTCCTGTGGGAAATACATGTGCCCCAATTTCGTTATGAGAACTATAGAATGTTCAGGAAAACAGTAGAAATCCTATGAGGTTCAGGATGGCTGAAGAAATGAACTTGAGAATTCATTCTCATAAGCTCCTAAACAATTGTAAAATGCGAAAATATCTAGCTAAGAATAGAAAGGTAGGAATAGAAATCAAGTATCAGCGTAGGTGCTCGGGATCCAATACTTTGACAAGCACAGTCCGTGATAATTCTGAGGACTCTAGCTCGGGTGAAATAATGTAAAACGGCACCTTTCAAGAAATACAAGACTTCGAAAAAATACTAGCAACTGGGATTGTGCGGAAATGCGTGTCTCTAACCGTCTGGGCGTCTCCCACACAAGCGTACTATTCGTCGGCGTCCTAACGCTTCGTTGTGAAAGGTGCAGCCATAGCAAAGCTGTCATTGCATAGCAACTCGGTTTTGAAGCCCTTATAACGCCCTCTCGTTTCCCGACCTTCCAGTGACCCACCTGGAATTCTGGGGGTCTTAGGTTTATCTTATTAGGAAATCTCAGAGACTATATTTATCGTCAACTTCATCGTGCCATTAACCTTTTCACCACGCGACGCCTTTGGCTGGAAGATGAACTCCATGACATGAAGCTCTAGTTACCTTTTTGAATTTAGTAGAATGAAAAACTGACAGATTGGTCTGGCCTGACTGGGATTCGATCCGGAAGAGCTCGAGCCACAGACTTCCAATCACGACATCATTAAAGCGTGAAAAGCTACAGATGGATACGCATAGGCTACGAGTTCCATATGCCCAGCTTCACATCATTCTTACAAATAATAAGTAAAAATATTAAATATATATGTATATATTTGACTGTGCTTGGGGTTACTCATAGTCTGTTAAACTTGTTAGAAAAATGACACTACTCAATTCCACCCTTCAGCTTCCTTAATCATTTCCCTAATCCATTTATTGCATGATTCAGTAGTTGTCAGGAATTCCGTAGATGAAAATAGAGTAAAAAAGAGCTCATTCCCTCATTTTCATCGTTTGATAGGGGAAAAGAATCCCTCAGTTGGTATATGACCGAAATATTTTTCCGGTGTTCTAGTGCAGGCAAAGTTTTCCTACAAAATCTGTTACTGACGGAACTCTTTCCAGTTCTGCTCGATGGAATGCTGCAGCACAAGTTTATCACAATTCTCGTGCACANTCACCCACACAAGATGGGCAGTTCCAGTTTTCTCCGGATGGCGTTGCAGAGAATATGTGGGTCAATCCACAACAACTAGTCACCAATTTCATTCATAGGAGCTCAGCAGTCAGGTTAGATTCTTTCTGAATGAATCCTCGTCTATGTTATGAGCGCAGAACACATCTTTTGAATGCTCTCGTTTCCAGGACACCGCTATCGTTGGAGGACATCGCTAACATGAACAGACGACGTCATATCCAGGTGCAGTTTTGAAAATTCTTTTTTACACCTGTTTCTTAAAAAACAGCTGGCATTTCTGAAGTGATTCTTAAGTGCTGCCTTCGTTTAAACCCTTAAGCTTCTACTTAAGTATGCAAATCGTTTTCCCATTTCAGGAAGGTGGATTAGTGAAAAATGAGGCTGGCGGTCCATTAGAATTGGAAGCAATAGCAGCCGTTCATGAATTGTCACATGAAGTTCGGGATATCAGTGTATCAGAAATGCTTCCTAGGACAAGTGATCTCATCTTCGTCAATGTGAAAACCCAAGAAGGTACCTGCTACTTGCATTATCTAAACTGCCCTCTTACTTTTCCCTTCTTTCATTTCCTTGCTTTTTCCCACTCTGGTGATTTTCCTTTTGGGGCATGATGGCTGGTATCAGAGGCCGTGACAAATGGCAGAACCATAAAAACTCAACTGACTTGAAAAATTATCATTATCAGTGTTCATTAGTTTCTCCGATAACTGTTCTATGGTCTTATGGTTGATAACTGACAGGGACCGAGTATTTTTCTGAGGTTTACGTGTATCTGAAATGGAAGCGTTACTTTTTTTACGGCTCCATCAGTAATTGCGGTCTTTTGTTTATCGATAACTGCCTTCTTTTGCAAGGTAGGGACCTCAAAAAAATTATGTAAATAAAAGTTGATCATTCGCTAAGAGGTCAATGCCCTGCAAAAGACCGCAGTTGTTGATAAACAAGGTCGCAATTGCTTATGGAGCCATAAAAGGAGGGACGCTTTCTTTTTTAGTTACACCGTAGACCCTTGGAAAAATGCTCGGTCCCTCTAGTCATCGTGCGAATCAGTAATCACTTTCGAGTCAAAGCGCAACAAGATTTCCTGAGGGTCTGGTATCTGGCTGGAATTGACCGAATCCTAAGGCGTTTAGAAACTCAGTTTAAGAGGAGTAACTCAAAGCAAAGCGAATTTTTTTTAGAGAATTTGTAATCATATGTACATACTGCGCCTTTTTCAGGTCAACCTTACACTCTCGAATTGACATTGAAAGGTTGGCGTATCGCCTCATCCCATACAGACTGCATGAATGGGGACTATACTAAGGTACGTTCATGGGATCAAAGCAACTTATAGCCAGATCAGAATTTGGGGACTTTTTTTCCTCGGCATGCTTCTCAGCATTTATCCTAATCTTACCTTTTGGCTCGACCGCTTAGGCGGAGAGAGGGAGAGATGGGTATTAGTTCGCTTCCGTCACTGGTCCAGTTTGATCAATGTGAACATGTGAATTTTCTTCAGCCTGACGTGTAGGAAAACTTTCGGATGTTCGAAATGCAAGAAAAATGCTGGAAAATGTTTGGGGAACCCCGTGATGGGCGTTATTTGGCATTAGATTGGCAGTTGGAATCCTTTTTTTGCCTCAATAAAGAGCTTATCACCCTGTTGTCCAAGAGATAAAGGCTTTCGATCGTTCATAGCTGAAAATATTCTGAAATTCGTTGTTGGTGTTGAGGGGCTGGTTTCCCTCCTGGACTAGGCATGTATGAGGGCCTTCACCTGAGTCTCCTCGTTGTGTGCTAACCCGTCTATCCACTTAGGATCGTTCTATATCCGAGTTTTCTTGGATGAGTGAAAATGCAGACGGCCAAATGGGCTGCTTTCAATGCGAATCCACACAACACTGAGAGGATGAATACGTATTTGAATCCCAAGCACTTTAACATGGGGCCTGAGTATGTGGGAGATTCTGTTGTGATCGGTAAACACTGAACACTTTATAATTCGATCATTTATGTGAAATAGTGATGCATTAGCTCGGTAAACAAGTTTCTAGACAATTTGGTAAACATTCTAGGCATTTGCGATTGAATTAGGTGGACCATTTTAGGATACTTACCTATTTAACGGTGAGGGTCTTTCAGTGGCATAGGGGTAGGCTGCCTTGCTTATCCTTCGGAACGCTGCGTGCACTTTTTCTTGGGTGTCCACCCAGTTATGGAGTCAGCAAAATTTCTAGACCTTGTCTTGGCCTTAATTTGTGAGCTGTTCCAGGGTAAATCACCGGAATGGCTGCATTGATGGGAATTCTCCTGTCTTCAGTTTTTTAGGTCTAGCATTATCGGGTCCCCGATCTATCGATATCCGGCACGGTATACCTGCTTTTTGAAATTGGGTTGCACCATCAGAGGTACAGTTCAATCGAGTAATCCTCATCAGAAACAAAGGCAGCTGAGGTAGAATTGTTTGGGTTGAGATCAAATGACAATGGGAAAAGCTAGGCGCTGTGGGTGCGTTCATGCGTAGTCACGTGCGTTTGATTTTGGTTATAATGAATAGCGAAAAAAAACGGTAGAAATTATTTTGTTTGAATTATCTGGAGTTCACATAGCAACTCATTACCTTTTAATATTAGATTACTGTAAAACTTTCATTTCAGGTCGACCTGCATACACGCTATTTCCGTAATGCACGTGAATTGCTCAGCTTTATATCACCAGACCATGCAACCAGATTCAACGAGTGCTTAGCAACCAAATTGAACGAACTGGCTGCTAATGTAAGTTTTTGAACCAGTTTTTTGAATACATACTTAATTCAGCTGTAATTGGGCTTCCTCTAAATGTATGGCACTTTCCGGGATTCAAGCCCAAGATGCAATCTGGTTTACGGTAGGCTCAGCAGGGAGCATCAGCTTTGGCAGTTTTGCTTTATGAGTTCTGAAAATGGATTGGAGCGAGTTGTTTGGAGATGTAAGGGTCTGTAGGACTATTACATTTCAATCAGTTGTAGTCACCACTGACCAATGACTGGTATTCCCGATTCCCGACCGATTTTGTACTGGTTCATAGATCGGCAATGTCCCTAATCCCTCAGTGAAAGTAATTCCTCAGCCATTAGTTTCTGCAATGATCATTCATTTTGCGGAAAACTTCTGGCTTTGTTTTTGTCCCGTCTTTTCTTAGCCTCTTTATTTTTTGAGGCTTCCCCGAACTCATTCATCTGCAGCCTTGCTTGAACGGTTCCAACTGAAAATGAACAATGTATAGACAAAAACTATCTCTAACTAATTAAATTAGCCAGTGAATTTGGATTGGAAGATCTTTTTGAATGTATTGGGATTACTGTAGTTCTGGATGTAGCGGCAGTCTAGTCCAGGGATCATGTGCTGAAGGTTATAGAGTTGATTGGAAGCTTCTGTGGAGCTTATACTTTTACCTCAGGCGCCGATGTGGTTTTTGTAGCACATGCTAGGTGTGTCAGTAGGTTCAAAAATCTGGGCCATAACCACGCTCTGGACTTATTGTGAGCCTACCATGGTGAGATCCAATGCAGCAACTTGCCCAACATTGCCACCTCTTCGAGTGAGAAGTGCTGGTTGTCGATTGGATAGTGGGTAAAATCTTTGAGGATGCTAACTTTTGCTCATCTGAGCAGTGCTAACTGTTCCAGTTTGGAATTCCATACAGTGTCCCGGGTAGCCCTGCGATTCTCGTTTTTCTCAGAAACCCTCGTCGTTTCCTGCCCAAATTCTCTCAGACTAAGCTTTCAGTAGGGGTCTTGTTGCCTTGCATTACCTTGGCAGTCCTTCGGATTGCCCACAAGTACCAATGCTAGCTCTACGTTTGAAGCGTGACTTCCTGCAGAATCCATCTAATAGTTCCTACTTTTCAGGAGTCTACTTGTGTAAACGCCAGCTGAATCCGTATCATCAGATGGTAGTGCTATTACGAGGAGGGTTGTCAATGGATCATCTTCCTGCTTCAATACTACATACTGTACTATTTCTGTTAATAGCTATATGTATTATCTTTTATAGAACTCCTAGAGAGAATGAATGAGAAACGTGTAAAGTCTCGCAGTGAATAATACCGGTTGATTGAAGTCGCTTCAATTCGATCATTTCATTTTGTTGTCGCCTGGTTCCATCCCGGTACAATTTTATGTGACAGTCCGCCTATGAAACCTATAGTTTCTACAAAAGTGTTCTGTTATTTATAGCAATGTGAGATGTATTTATTACTGCAGATTAAGTACAAAGTCAACAATTGTGGCAGTCTTATCACAATTTTCCAATGTTTCTAGTGTGACTTTACGGCCGGTGTTACAGTGTGCCTCTCAGGTGCTAAAAGCTGTTTAGTTAGCGACTTCATTGTTGTTTTGTCAAGTTTGCAATAAAATGTTGCAAGTATTCCTCTAAAACAGATGGACATGCCATGAAATGACGCGAGAAGTGGGTATCCAAAAATCGTAGTGCTGGTCCGAGTGACTCTTTTTTTCATAATGTTCTACCCCATCCCTCAATACAATTTTCGAAAAATTATTACACGGTGAAATCTCGTGAAAAAATGTTGACAGGACCCGGTAGAGCAGTGTTAATCGAGGAAGCGCTTTTTGTAAGCTCCATCAGCGTTGTGTTGGGCGGTGGTGCAGTGGCAAGTGCCGCACTTCATACACGCACGGTAACAGGTTTGATTGCGGGATCGATATCCGCCTAGGCTAACCAAGCCTTCCATCCCACCAGAGTCTGTTAATTGGCAGCAAATTCGTCTGAGAGGGCAATAGCACTGACTTGTACATCAGTGGCCACCACAAGTCATTGGATAGGCCCCGTACGCATTCAATACGCCACTACGATTCTGAATGGACGACGAATGTGTGGGCGCATCCCTGGAACAGGGTTGGTTAACGCCACAAGAGTTTATCCTTTATCCTTTCATCAGTGTTGTGGCCGCAGCTATTTCCCAACTACAGGAGATAAGAAGATGTGATGGGCATTCATGTCTACCTTGAGGCCATGCTAATTTTAAAACCCGACATGAAACTATGGATAAAACTGGTCATCTTGAAGCTGGTGAGCTAACCTATGCATTCTGTGTGTTTTTCGCTTTGCTCTGATCAGTGTGAAGTTTGGAAGCCTGACTAAATACTCGTCTATTTTCAATGAGCAAGCATGTCGACTGAATAAACTTAAATCGATGATTTTGCACTCATTGTAAATTACTAACTCCATCAAGCAGCCTACCTCGAGGCATTATGTTCTGATAACACTCGTATTGCTGCTTTTCAAGATGTGAGTAGCTGTCGCGCTAACATGCCATGTTTAATGGAAACAGTTTATATTGACGAACAACCGGCAGAGTTGTCCCGATTCTATAAAGGAATGGCTGGGATTTACGTCTCTATTCCGAAGGTTTCCATTGTCTGGGACACATCCCGGCACAACTGGCGATATCAAAGAGTGAGGCGGTCTGGTAAGGATATTTGGCTCACCACAGAACACTGAACAGTCAAAAAATAATATTTGACAGATAAGAAGAACTTCGCCATGGTTGAGTTCGACAGGGAGTATCTGTAGGCATGGGAGACGCTGAAGAAGCTATCAACATCGACACAGTACATCGACAGCAGAATGTTTCGATCGAGTGACCTAGACTCTGTAGAGTCATAAAAGGAAATTTTCACGTCCAACAAATCAAGATGATTGCTTCTTTATGCATTTTTGACGAACTCGCGCTATGCTCATGAAGTGCGCAGAAGAGGTCCGTATGCTTCCCAGAATGTTTCAGAGGAACACGTGTAGCAACAGCCACAACACAACAGTACACTGACATATTGGCGCAACATAACGAATGCAGCAGAAAAAACTAATAATATCATCAGAACAACAGCAAATTTATGTTAAAATTTGTAACCGTTTACCCGTCTCATGTTTTTGGATGGTTTACAGTTTCATCCAAACTCAAATGTTTTCCGGTAATCTGCCAAACACAGTCGACAAACCAAAGATGTAGGGAAGAAGCCCTAAGAAACAGTCATAAAAAACTATTAAAAAGCTAGTGAGAAATGAAAAAAAAATTTAAAAAATAGAAAAGCTACCTAGAAATAATTCTTTTTTCTCTCAAACCTCAATATTATTTACATGCCTCGAGTTTTTTTTACTTTATGATAGGCTTTTATACCTTCGTCTTACAAGTTTTGCTGTATTCTAATTGAGTATACACAGGGCCACACAGTGAGTTCATTTAATACCGTAACATTTATATTACTTGTTAGGAGAGCGCCATATTAATAACCTACTTCTCAGACATTGCTATATTGTTTACCACCTTCAAATTCCTCGTTTTGCCCTTATAATACATCTTAAACAGGTTAGACTCAAGCTATCAATGCTTGAGGCGGGATGGGATGTCCACTAAGACATGCAAATCACTGATTAATGGTTCATTTAATAATTTCAGTTCTATGAATTAACAGTTTTGTTGAAGTTATGAGGTATGCTTATAGTAGCACTTGTTCTCGGTATATTGCGAAATATTTATCGTTTAGTATTCTTCTCTACTATTCTTCTCTGCCGGTTTATTTATTGTAATTGACTCTGATTCTTAACTACATCAGCAAATAAGAGACATGCTACGTACCATTTATCCTAAAATTCCATAGATAAGAGCGGTTTAATTTACCGGTGAAAAATGAATTGGAAAAAATTGAAATTGAATGCAGTCACCCTTCTAACTTGATGGAGGGGTAAATAAAAGTCGGAGAAGTTTAAAAGGAGCTCCGCCTCTCAACTCGTAAGCCCCGCCCACTTAATAAACAATTCATATAGAAAAATAGCGGTCCGTCAAAAATCGCTATTTTTCTACGTGCGACAGTTGATAGCTCCAATCCGGAGATTGATCATGTTGGACAATACGCGTCACCAGGCTGTCCAAACTACTGGTGCAAGATGGTCGGGGAGAGACATTTAGTAGTTCCCTCGCCTGGGTAGTAGAGTAGTCTCTCTCTGTAATGATTGGAGATTTTTGCCAATCAGAATACTTCCATTCCAGCTCGATGGTTATTCAGTAGATTTGAATTTCTTAACAAGATGATGATACACTTAATAACTTAGCATGAGTTTACAATTTTCCCTTTTTCCTTGTTGGTTTGATTTCTTATTGATATAAACGCCCCTTTCACAAAATGTCTGGCACCTCCGAACTCTTTTCCATACAATACAGACGTATATTCTTTCTTAAATGCACGGTTCGACAGGAACGGTTTCGGAGATTTTCAGATTAGGTGAATTCGAGGCCCCCTCTAGTACCATACGTGCCGAAATCGCGTCCAAAAACGTTCTGGATAGGGCATAATAAAGGCCAGAGAGTGGGGACGGGAAGCGCCGCTGCTCGGTAGGCTGACTAGACCACTAAATCTTATTGTCGTTCACCAGTTTCACGTTGGAGCAACGTTAGTGAGAAATCGATTAGCTGATCGAGCGCCTCCTACTAGTTATAATATTCGACTGTATTCCTACTATTCGGCTACTATTCTACTCTATTCTGTTCCAATTAATTATTCTAAGGCGTCTTCAAAAGGATCAGGTAATCAGGTAAGTAACTGAATAGGAAAATTACTTTTTTGCATGGAGTTACGGTTATGTCGATAATTAAAATCAATTTTTTAATCCGCGTATTGTCTAGTTTTTTTCGTGGATGTGCATGATAGCACTTTTTCGTTTCCTCATAAGTTTATTGAAATTTGTAAGATATTTTGAGTAAAATATTGCATGTAAACATTTTTTATTTT